TACACTTGATTTCTATCGATGGAGTCTTGTGGTCTTCTTTCCTAATTACTCAATGAAGGAGTGCTGACATACAGGGTTACTGTGGGGATCAAAGGGAGAATAGAGTGCTATGCATGTCACCTTCAGCTCCTAAATGAGATGCAGAATAAAAACGTAACGAATAAATATTAAATTCTAATTTTGTTGGTTTGGTCTAAGGGTGCTTTTATCAGTTTTTTTTCCTTTAAAAACATTATTTTAAAGGTTATCTATGTTATATAATTTTAGGTTATATACTAGAATGCTTAAAGTGAAAAAAAAATATACATGGGATTAATATGATACGATTACTTTAATTTCCACCTTCATGTCCAATGCCTCTCATCACATGTTTATCCTGGCTGTTCTCCCCAAAATTCCCATAATGAATCAGAATGAATGGAATTAAAATTACATCCACTGGAAAAAATAATAATATCCACACTTTTACTGAAGCCGTAAAGTTTGTCCTGTAACATCATACCCACTATTTCCCTTAATAGGCCAATTAAAAATCCAATAAATAAACTAATTCATTGGAGTGCAATGCATTAACATGACACGCCACATAAAATACATAGCAAGTTATTTCCTAGAAATCAGAATACGTGCGTGGAGGCCAGGTAAGAGATGGGCTGTATATAACTTTCATAAATAAACATGAATTGAAAATATTACACAGTTAAGTCAAATCTCAGTTCATACCAACAGTTTTTTTTAAAAAAATAAAATGTATCTTGGCCAATACGTGTGAATATGAAATTTATAAAACAGAAGGAAAGAAAATAATATTTTCCATGCATGGATGGCTTTGATGCCTTTGTGCCATAACATATAAAAATCCATGTTAAAAATAATGGGTAGAGAGAACTTAATTCAGATAAAAGATAACAGAAATGAAAATGTCTCAGACAAGACCCTCCTTCATTCTCATGAAGATATAAAGTCGTTTCAGTAAAAGAAGTTGTGAGTTGTGGCACTGGTTTCTTAGTTTAGTCTACCTTGAAGTGCTGACAGCTGCACATTTCATAGTTGATGAAATAGTTTCATAGCTCTCTTTGATATCAAAGAGAACACAAGATATAAGAAAGCAGATTTTCAAAACAATGGTCATCACTTTTTGTCAGGATGGGACTCAGATCCTTATCTTTAATTTCATAGAAGACGAAGGAAAAGGAGCTTGATCACAGATGCCCAGGAAATTCATAATTCAAAATCAGTAGGATCTATTTCTCATACTATTGCAAGAACCTTTGGCTGAAAAGGGAGTCACATGGATTTGGACAGATTACTCAACTGGAAATGCACAGGCCAAAATGTTGTAAACTAACAGGAGATACCTCTTCTGCTTGGTAAATTTTAATTGTACCTTCTGTAATCTTTTAGATATCGTTGAACTATATGTCTACAGATAATCAGAATTACTGACTTACATTTAAATAATTAGATGAGACCCAGATTTTTGTCACCCATTTCAATCTGTAATTTATCAACAGAGAATGAAATGTTCACACATTTCATTTATCATATGTATACGTTTCATATTTCTTGTGTGCAATATGCGTCACAGATCATCTGTATGGAAGCAAATATATCAATATATACATCATTCATGAGCAGCTTAGCATGCTCCTCCCTAATGTCTCAAAAATAGCAATAGAAATAGCAGTTCGACTTATATACTGCTTCATAGGGCTTTCAGCCCTCTCTAAGCGGTTTACAGAGTCAGTATATTGCCCCCAACAACAATCCGGGTCCTCATTTTACNCCCTGAGCCGGTGAGATTTGAACCGCTGACCTGCTGATCTAGCAGTAGCCTGCAGTGCTGCATTTAACCACTGCGCCACCTTGGCTCTTTAAGGTGATGGACTTTATATTTTGCTATTTCTTATTACTAGAAAGATTTTGCATTCTCTTTACTTGCTCAAAAGGAAGACAATCCTAAATTTAAGATGATCCTAATCCAGAATGAAATGTAGGAAAATGAACAGAAAAATATAAGTTCTGTATTTGTCATTGTATGATTGCCAACCATTGCTGAAACTAGTTTTGGAAATCTACTCTCTCCTATAAGACGATACACTACTATACGTGTATATCTGCCAAAAGTCATACTCCCCAGCTAAGAGTATGAATGATCATTAATTAAGAGTATTACTTGTAAAATAAGGAGTCCAATTTATAAAATTAATTGACCCCCCCCCCCATCTGATTACAGCAACCTTTCTTTCTCCCACACAAATTGCACACACAGAAAAAA